GTGCTGCTTTGTAAGCCCCACCCTACACTTGCACTTGCTCCATCCGAGAGTCAGAGCCTCCTTCTGTTCTGCACCCTTGGGGTCTCCTGTGTCTTAGTGTAGTCCCAGCACTGTACATCACCAACTATAATGCATCCATTATGATGTGATGGACACAGCATCAGCCCCAGGAGGTGGGTGGGGGTAGAAGTAGATTATTTACAAAGAAGGTGACCTTGGAGCTAATTGGGGAAGGTGAAGGAAGTCATTACAGAAAAATAGGATAGTACGGGTTTAGTCTGGAGACAGGAAAAGAAATGAAGGGTCAGATACAGGTCTGGGAAAAGACCTATGAACAGATGAATCTAATGGCTTACAACATGGAAAGTGAACACAATAAGGATGCTGGGAGCTTGCCCTTATTGGATGCTGGTAGCTGGCTGGGCAAGACAACTGAACTCTTAACTTTATCTCTGCCTTATTTTCATAGAACCACATTAGAAAATAAATCCCGGTATGGGGAGGGGAGAGAAAATCAGAAAATCTCTATAGAACTAAAATCTGTTAAAAGTATGTTAATTTTTTCAAAGTCTGGGAAGGCTTCTTGGGGCATATGGGATTTCTGACATTGGGCCAACCAAAATTTAAAGGCCCTTGTATGACTATTACCTTTTCAGGGGAAGGGTGTTTGTGCAAAAATCAATAGACTGAATTTAACAAAATTAAAAACTTGCATTTGTGTAATGTTTTATAGGCTATGAAGTCTTGTGACATTGTCTTTTTAATTCTCAGGTTTTATCTGTGCCTTTGCCCATTTCTGTTCCCAATTCCTAAAAATCTCTTTCCCCTCCTAGCCTGTTGGTTGAGACCTATTTTTAAACAGCTTTATTGTGATATAATTCACATACCATACAATTCACCAATTTAAATTGCACAATTCAATGGTTCTTACAATATTCAAAGTTGTGGAACCATCTTGACAACCAATTTTAGAACATTTCCCCTACCCTAAAAAGAAATCCTGGACCCATTAGCAGCCACCCCTCATTCCCATCTAACCTAGAACTTTCTGTCTCTATAGATTTGCCTATTCTGGACATTATCTTTTAATTTTTACTTTAAAGTGTCCTTGGGGATTAGGAATTCTTACCTTTGGAACTCCTCATCCCTAAATGGTGGAACTTCTGTGATAAATCAGAGATCTGTGATAGAAATAGAAAGGGAAGGGAAATATTTATTTAACAACTACTATGTGCCAATATATATTCATGATTTTCACAACCATCCTACAAGTCAGGTATCTTTTAACAGTTGAACAAACTGGGGTTTATAGAAATTAAGTAACTTGCCAAAGGTTACAAAGTAACAAAACAAGGATGTAAACCTTGCTTTTTGACTAGAGCTCATTGTCTTCTTTCCATGAGATCAGTAATTTTCAAACTTCGTTGGGCACTAGAGTCACCCGGAGGGTTTATCAAACACAGATTGCTGGGCTCCATTCACAGTTTCAGATTCACTAGTTCTGGGGTGGGGCCCAAGCATCTGCATTCCCAGATGCTGCCGACATTGCTGGTCTGAGACTGTGCTATATCATGTTGCCTAATAGCATCTGAGAACGTGATTGATTAAGATCACAGAGCTAGATGATGAAGTAGCTTTAATATCATCTGGTCATCTTTTCAGAACAATATTTATGATCTGTCAAAGCAACTGCTGATTGATAAAAGGCGAAAGTAGTTAGAAAGGCACTACAGAGAACTAAAATGCTTCAGGGAAATGCTAAAGTGTGATAACATTTTTTTCTGGTTGGGAAATGTGATAAACAATCAGAGAATTAACCACAGTGCATGAAGCACCTAGAGGTAGAACTTTTCAGCTGGAGGCAAAACTTGGAACTATAGCTACTTAAGGAGAGAAGGCAGGCAGACAGAGGACTATCAACGGCAATATCTCTAACTGTTCTTTGGCTAGCTGCAGTTGCATACTCATGCTGAGTTCATCCCCAAACGTTAACTAGGCCAGAACTTCATCAGACTGAAATCTGTGTATATATATATTTAAAAGAAAGATCACAGATACCAACAAAATGTATTTCCTTGAATCTGTTCTAACTCTGGATTTTATTGAAAACGTTTGATTTTTTTTCTTAGTGGGAGGGGAAGGAGGACAGCTGGAAATCACTTAATTCAGAATCTGCAGTGTAATTGCTCGGGTAGGCTCAAACGTGATTTGAACATCCCTAGCTATGGGATTTGGTGACCAGGCTCCCAAGAGAGGATGACACAGCACAGGGAACAGCACAGACAGCCTGCCTTGCTTTATAGAGAGCAGAGATGCAAAAGTCCTTGTTGAGGTCACCAGTGCTGCGAATAATCTTAATAATTTAAATGGATGGGGGTAACTTCCTAATATGTAGGTAAGTAAGCACTAGGGACAGAAAAGAGAGAGGAAAGCAGCAAAGTGAAAACAGGGAGTGCGGAGTGCAGCTGGACATCCTCTGCTAATTAGGCCTTAGCTTTATATAGACAGCTTTTGTTTCTGTCAGAGCACTTTTATGTATATTAACTCACGCACAGAGGTCAAATATTATTATTATTAAACAGGGTGCAGAAAAGTGTAATGAGTGATCTCAGTTAATGAGTTAGTTTAACTGGTTAAGAGATGCACACACTAGGACTAGATGCCAACAGTTACCTAGAATGCCAGTAAAAGAAAACATTCAGAAATAAGATTAGTAATCACATAAATACAATCTAGTGAACACCACCTTTCATTCCAAAATGGTGGAAGTGAAGTTTACTTGTTGGTACTTTCTTACCTCTTCCACATTCGTTCATTTGTTCCTTCATTCATTCCACAAAGATGTATTGAATGCTTCCTACTTGCCAGTCATTCTGCTCAGCGGGCCTTGGGAATGTAGAAATGAGACATGGTGTCTTGTCATTTATTCAACAAATATTTATTTAAGGCCCTACTACGTGCCAGAAACTGTTCTAGGTACTGGGGATCTATAGTAATCAAAAAAAAAAAAAAAGCAAGAAATGTATAAACAAGTTCAGAGTAATCCACTTAGAACTAACAAAGCAAAGGGAAACATACTATAATAAACATGTGATGGACAGAGGGATGGGTAGATGACTAGTGTTATAAAGCAAGCCTAGTACAATGTTAATGGCAGAATCTAGGTGGTGGGTATATCAGTGTTTACTGTAAAATCTTTCAACTTTCTGTTTGAAAATTTTTACAATAAAACATAATGGAAAAAAGTTATAGGAATGATAAGGAAGGTGGGGATTTGGGAAAAGCTCATGGAGGATGTGGTATTTTTTTATCCTCTTCTTCTTCCTCTCAGCTACCCTTAGCTACAGGTCCATCAAGTTCCAAATTCCATTTGGCCTTATCTTGGGCTATAAAAGGCTCTGCAAAAGTCCTTGAAGACCCTTAGATCTCTTTAGTGGAGAAAAGACTTTGGTGAGAAGAGGCAGACTCATGAATCAGCTAAAACCCACCTACCCCACAGCCATTTGGTAAGGCACTCTCCTTCCAGCTAACCTCTCCTAAATGCCTCTGGGTACCGGGGAGCCACTCTCCCCATCTTAGTTTCCCATCTGAGCTTCTGTGCAGCTCGGTTTTGGATGGTGACCTGAACTATTTCAAAAGTGAAAAGAACATTTGTTTTCTTATACTCTTAATTTTCTTTAGTAATTTTTTTCAAAATAATTCTGAATTTAAGGTAATTTACTGAGTTTTAAAAGAGAATGCTACCGACTTAAGTTCTCTTTTAGACTGTAGGACCCCCATCAGCTCATTGATACCAGTTGCAGGTTCACAGGGCAGAGGCTGGAAGTTACTAGTGACGTCCTACCTCTCTCCCCTGTACCCCCAAAAAAGTTCCCTTTCCAGTTTCAGCCCTTTAGGGGCCTTTTCTCTTTGAACAATTATGTACAGTCTAGACTGTGCCTGGCACTATTCTAAGAACTTTAAATATAATAATTCATTTAATACTCACAAGAATTCTAGGATATGATAGCCATTATTATTCCCATTTAACAGATGAAAACACTGAGGCACAGGGAGATTAAGTAACTTGCTCATGGAACTGCATGTGAATGCAGAAGTCTGGCTCCAGAAATCCAGACTCAGAGGCTGCTCTGAGTCACCAGCAAATACCGCCTTTCTAACCAAGACTAATTGCCCATCTCCGAAAAACCAGTTCAATTACAGGTATTAATGGGTCAACGTGGCATTACATATTTTAATGCTTCTAAAAACCCTAACTCCGCAGGAATCTCAGTATTTGGGATTTCAAACTGTGGTTTGAAAGGGCGTTGATGTTAGGAGGGAGGGCGCCCTTCAGATAAGCCCCTCAAATTACCCAGAAGGACTCTAGGGAGTCGCCTATTTAGGAGCATGGTATTGGGGGGTTTCCAAGAGAGGAAATATTTATAGCCAGCGGCTGACATATTATTTTGGCAAATAGAAGGGGAAAAAAACAATCTCATTTTCGGAAAACACAAGTTTTTAGCTTGGATAATGGGTAAAAGATATTAACTCTTTGTTTCATCTTCATCTTCCAAGCTTGTTCTAATTTTGCTTCTCAAACCTGGTGCATTCCCTCTACTATTTGATCTGCCCTTCTAGCTTTTTGTCCCTTTTGAAATAGGTGGTATCATACCAAATTAAAACGCAGAACGCTCGTTTCTTTTCCCTTAGTCCGCAGAAGGTCGTCGGGAAAAGGGTTAACCGGGTGGGTAGGGAGGAGGGTCGGGCTCACACCTTTCCCAGAGACCTCGGGCGGCGGCGGGGCCCGGGAGGGGCGGAGGCTGGGGCCAGACGCCTCGCCGCCTCCGCCTCGGCGAATAGCAGCGCGGTGTCCGCCCGGATTGGAGCAGCAGCATCACGCTGACCTCTGCCTGGGATGTAAACCGGGACAGGCGCTGCGGGCAGAGGAAGGCTCTCGTCTCCTCCGGGAAACCCAGCACCGCGGGGCTCCGAGCGGCTCGCAGGGCCTCGATCCGGGCAGCGCCCAGCGGCGGCTGCGGGAAGCGGAGGGAGCCCGGCGCGGGCGCGGGCGGGAAGCGTGCGTCCGCTCGCACAGGCAGCGGGAGGAGGGGCGGCGCGAGCCATGGCCGGGGACAGCGAGCAGACCCTGCAGAACCACCAGCAGCCCAACGGCGGCGAGCCCTTCCTGATCGGCGTCAGCGGGGGCACGGCCAGCGGCAAGGTACGGCGGGGCCGCGGGCCGCGCTCCCCTCCCCACCCCGGGCCCGGCGGCGGCGCGTGTGGCCCGCGGGCCGTGTCAGCTGCTGCAGCCACCGCGTGGCCCGCGCGCCTCGGCTCCTGGCCGCGCTCCAGCGCCGAGTCTTCCCGGCGCGGACTCGGGGCTCCGCGGCGGGGGATGGACGGGCGGGCGGTGACTCGGGCCATTGAGGTTACGCCGGCCACAGATCATAGGGCTGGTGCGCACCCTCTCGCTTTTTTTCCCCCGCGGCGGTAACTCGCGGCAGGGGTCCTATGGGGGAGTGGTAGAGAAAGCGGATGCTTAGTGTTTTGCTAGTCCGATATTGGGGGACAGGGCTTTAAGCAGGGTCCCCAACGAGCCCCCGATGCACCCCCTTCCCCCAGCCTTGCACTGATGAGCTCGCCCAGCAGCGCAGCTCCGGCGCCAAGGGCGGAGCGAGCCGGGAAGCCCGGAGGGCTGCGAGAACGCGCGAGGCGGCGTCCCGGAGAAGGGGAGCCCCACTTGGGCTGGACGTGGGGGCTGGGGATTGCAGGGGTTTCCGGGTAAAATCCTGAGAGCCAAGTAGGTGCGGTGACATCAATGAAATAATAATAGTCGGAGCTTCTCTTTTTTTATGCTTATAAGAGGAAACGTGGTCGGCTTCAATGAGAAAGTTGTACTGGCTCCATGCTCTGAGATGTCTGGGGCGCACGCGGTTTGGGTCCACGGAAAGGGGTCACCCTCTGGGTGAATGACTGCCCTCGGAGCCTGCTTTGTTTTATCAGCAAGGCAAGGAGAGACTAAGGAAATGCTTTCCTAGCTTTACCCTTTACCCCAGGCTTTTTCTGCAGGTGGAGAAGGGTGGAGTCCTCCCAGATGTTTCTTTCTTTGCTCCCCTAACTGCCTTTAAGATGTGGCTACTTGTTTCCCCTACCGTTTGACAACCTCCAACTTCATTCAGAGCACGGGCACCTCAAGGGGAGTCTGCGAGAGATGGGTGCTGCGCGCTGGGTTTGGCGAGGCGGGATGATGCCTCCGAGGGTTGGGGAGAGTAGAGCAGGAAGGCTGGTTGGCGCCATGAGAAACCAGCCACGAGGTTTTCGCTCCGGAGTCGACTTTTCCGTGGCCCCTCCTCCATTTTGGTTTTACATTTTTCGCTCCAGGTCTGGACTACTTGGGCGCCTGGCGCCCAGGCACGGCCGCTGGTGCTGTGGAACTTCTTTATTAAGTTAATCTCCTCCCTGGCTCCTAGGGCTGGGAATCTGCCTACTCTAGGTCCCAGAAGGGTAGGTTGCATTCGCTCCTAGTTGAATGCATTTTTTATTTTTAAAATTTTTACATGTTCTTTACTAGTACTATTACTAGTAATTCGAAGCAAAACCAGGATGCCGGCTCGTTCAGGAAGCTTTACCTGTTCTTTTAGAATTATTCTTACCCCCCTCTTTCTATAGCAATTCCTGTTGCGTGGGACCGTTTCCTGTTGTTCCTGGCTGTATTCCCAGCGCTCCTAGCACGAGGTCTGGCATACAGTTGGTCCAAATGTTAACCTGAGGGCCAGTCCTCCTGGGGGAAGGAGACTTGAACTGGCAGATGAGTGTAGCATTTAGAAACAAAATGACCTTGGTAATCTAATAAAAAATTTAGTCACTACAGAGGTGGAAACTGAGATCCTAAAAGGTGAAATAACCGTTCTTCTTATTCTTGTATGTTCCTCGGTCATCACCTGTTCTCAGTTGATAATCAGTCTAAGTTGCAAGAGTTACTTCCCTAACGTGTCAGGTGGGAGCTGGTAATGAGCCATTATGGGAGTAACTAACTCTCTGCTGTCTCCATTTTCATTAGGGAGGAAGATTATAAAAACTCCAAGAAAGAGTCTGTTTGCATGTAGTTTTCAAAGCATGTTGTACATTTTGGGCATTGATAAGTACTTTGTCACTGTTTAAGATTATATTTTTTTTTATTAAAGTCCAAAGGAGCATTGGACTTGTAAAATTCCATATTGCAGTTGGTTTGCTGCAATTATATCTTGATTCTGTTATTCCTCCAAGGAATAGGGATTTTTTTTTTTTAAAGGATGGTCAGCATCAACAAACTGGACCTCCTGGGGAAGTCTAAGGCCTGAACCTTGTGGTGTAGGAGGGTCTAGAAGCAAGGTTGATACTCTACCTCTTGGGTATTTGTTATGTGCCTGTTAAAGGAATTTGGGAGAAGGCAAAGGGCCTAAGAGCATCATCAAAAATGACAATTTTAGAGTTAGAAGGAACCTCAGAGCCTCTGGAGTCCAACTCTTAGTCTCGTCACTTACAGATGAGGAAAATAATGTATTCAGATCACATATTTGGTGGCGGAGCCAGTGCTAGATCAGTGCTGCTCAGTCCTTGTTGTTGCCTTGTTTAAGAAGAACTGAGTAAGGCATTCGGGAAGAACACAGTTACCCCTTCAGCTTGGAAACGGGCTACTTGGGAATGGCTACAGGAATGTTTCAGAGGTACTTGACCTGAAAGGAAGCGGAAATGCCGATTGCTTTGTACCGGTGGCCTCGCAGCATAGATCTTGATAGTTCTCTCCCCTCTCCCATCCCTCCTTTATAAGAAAAAACAACTCCTTGTTCAGCTTCCCTTGAGGGCTCTAATTTGTCTTAATGTTGTGGCTGCCCTGAGTACAAGTATTTTATCTCAGACTAAATTATTTTGGTTGTAGAAGGCAAAAAGAGTGATTGTGGCTCCATATATCACATTTTTTAGTTTGTTTTATAAAGGAAGATGAATTAGAACTTTACAGTAAGCTTTGCTAGGCTGACATGGCAAATCATTGTTAAAAACTCATCTTACAACTTTGTGGTGGGTTGAGAAAGTTATTCTGATCTATGTTAAAAACCAGATTCTTGTATTTCCTCCTAAGGTCTAGAGAGAGTAAGAAGTTAACCCTGGACGGGAACAGTTTAAGCTTCTTTGCCTGTGTATATATCCATAACTTTAGATGCCATTCCCTCTCTTCATTTTTGCTGTTATTGCCCTTGTGACTTCTTTGGCCCATTTAAAATAGCTTCTCAGAGTGGTCTTCCTTAGCTAGAGCTCTGATTGTGTCTCTCTCCTTTTTGGAAACCTTGGGTGACTCTCCATTGCCCAGACTACAGGTCAGATATTTCAGCACAGCGCGATTTCCCTTGGCCCCCAAATGTGTTCCCAGACTGTTTATTTTCCCACTCTTATTTATCCCCCTCCCCCACACCCAGATGCACACAGACACATCTATGGAACTGCTTTCACTGAAACTTTTTGTTCATGGTCTTCTCTTTGGAATGGCCTCTATCTAATCCTTTTAAGGCTTCAGTTCTGTTAATACTTCCTCCAGGGAGCGTTGTTATCCATTTCGTTTTTTTTTATAATTTATTTATTTATTTTTTTCCCCCAAAGCCCCAGTAGATAGTTGTCTGTCATAGCTGCACGTCCTTCTAGCTGCTGTATGTGGGACACGGCCTCAGCATGGCCGGAGAAGCGGTGCGTCGGTGCGCGCCTGGGATCTGAACCCGGGCTGCCAGGAGCGGAGCGTGCGCACTTAACCACTAAGCCACGGGGCCGGCCCTCCATTTCTTTAATCAGAGTTATTTTTTGTCTCTAATGCTTCCATAGTTTACCACCTTTTGCCTTGTACTGTGGTTAATTGTGGACTGCTTCCCCACTATAATAAAAGTTCTATATGAGCATCTCATTTATTTGTGCCTTAATGCCCATTACCGAGTTTGATATAGTGTTAGTGTTTGGTGTTTATTGTACTGAGTTAGGCAGACCATAATTTATCATTATCCTTTCATTTTTTAATTATAAGACCATTTGAATTAGGATTTGAAGCCACAGTTGACACCATGTTGAACTGTGTTACTCATGTTGCAATGACCAAAAAATAAAAAGCCCCTTGAACCATAATACATTGGTATTGCTTGTTCACAGCCTAACATTTATTTAGTATGTACTAAATAGATATTTGTTGAATGAATGTCATTGTTCACAACACTGTATTAAGTGCTTGGAGTTGAGGGGAAGTCAGGATATAAGGAAATATAAGAGAAAGTCTCTTCAGTATTTTATAGTTCTAAGCTGCTTAAACTACTTTTATCATCAAGTCAGTGTATCATGAAAGCATTTGATTATCTCTTCCCTTTGAAGTCAGGCACATGTCTTCCATTGGTGGATGACAGTGGAAGATGAGGTTAGGAGAACTTTTGACTTGCCTGAGTTCACATTGCTAGTAAGTGATAGAACTTGGATTTTCCCTTTTCTAAATCTATACCTGTTTTGAACTTTCTCCACAAGCAGCGACCTTATAGGTATTTTTAGGGAGGTTTGTCTGACTGTATGAGTAATACAGACTAAGAGAGGAAATTGCAATCCCCTCAGAGATGTGGGCTGTCACTTCAGCTCAGCTTGACCATGAGTCAGCATCTACTTTGGGAGTGCTCTGGAATGTGGTCTGGACCTGCATCTCCTTGGCTCCCACTGCCCTGTTCCTGGAACCTCAGCAGCCATGGCCATCTGGCCAGACCGCTCATTCCATACCCTCCTTCTGTCAGGTGCTCTCAGGGCCACGGGACTGGTTTGGTCCTTCTGCTGTTTTTCTCAGAGCTGCATTGTATGCTTTCTACCACCCCAAACTGCGGCCATGGCCATCAAGGCCCAGCCTGATCTGGCCCTGCTGACCGCCATTCTCCGCCTTGCTCTCTCTGTTCTAGCCACACCCACTGCTTGGCACACCATGCTGTCTCCCTGCCCAAGGATCTTCGCATTTGCTGTTTGCCCTGCCTGAAATTCTCTTATTCATTGTGCCAGTGCCTAGTGCCGTGGCTGGTAGAATAAAGAAGAAACAGCAGGTCTTGCAGCCTCTAGTAGTTCCTCTCTTGCAGCTGCCTTTCCTCAGCTGTGCCTGTGGTTTGCTGCTTCCTCTTTTATTCCTTGTTTGAGTGTCTTGGAGTGTGGTTTCTGATGTGCACTCTGTCTGTGGTCACC